CAAGGGGGGCGGGGGGGAAGGAAACATATGTAATACTCTTTGTAATACTTTAAGCAATAAAACAAAATTTTTTTAAAAAAGAAATGAGTATGTATGCATAACCTAGAAATTAACAATATCTAAAAAAAAGAGAGAGAGAGAGAGAGAAAGAAACATCAACTTACAAAGGCCATGGTTTTGAACTGGTTAGTGCTTCTCAAGATTTCTGCTGGAAAACTGCAAAATCCATATAAACCAGATCTGGAAGAAGAAAAAGAAGCCAGGAAACCAGATGTGCCTCGGAGCTCCCAAAATTACTTATGTTAATATGAGCTTTTTTTTTTTCTTCCACTCCTGCTTCCTACCTATTTTGCATCACTACACCCATACTGATCCCATACCCACACAAACTGGAGGAGAGTTTAGGGAGTCTGAAGAAATCCAAGCCCTGAAGAAACCCAATGAACAACACTGGACTTGGTGTAGAAGACCAGATATTTCTGCAGGAATTCTGACTAGTTCGCCATCTGACAATGTGGTCCTGACATTAGATTATTCAAACACGTTCTGAGCAATTCCTCCTGCTTCTAGTACAACTTTTCAGAGCCAAGAAAGGGCCACACCAACCAAGGAGAACCTCTTTTGAGCCCCTGGGATTCTGCCTGAACTTCCTAAACACAAAGAATAACAACCACACAGATTGAGCCTGGCAGCTCCTGCCACTATAAAGCTGCATTGGCCTTTCCCCAGCCAGGGAACTCACTATTCTGTTTCCCAGTTAGGACCTCTCATAGCATGACATCCTTTGCCACTCCCTCTCTTCCAGTATCCAAACTAGGAAGGGGATTCATGACAGCTGCAGTTGGTAAAAAACAAACAGGCATTGAGAACTTTGATGTGATGGATGCTTTATACACACCACTTGTTGATCCTCAGTACTGATCTGCAATGTAGTTCTTCTCTCCTTTCAATATAAAACTGATGCTCAGGGGTCAAATCATTTGCCCAATTTCAGTTATTAGATGCGAGAGCATTGTTTTGTTTTGAATCCACATTTCTCTAACTAAAAAGCCATCTTTTTCACTTTGATTTTTGCCTCTGAAGGCTAAGATTTCCACTTTACTGAGAGAAACCGAAGCAAGAACAATTAACTATAAAATAGAAATAACCTTTCAAAATATACTAAACTTCACTACTAATTATGATGATATGTATTAAAGCAAACCCCCCCCCAAAAAAAATACCTTTTTACAGTAACTGAATTGGGAGATCTAAAAGTCTGATGATGCCCCATAATAGCAAGATCACGGTATCCTGGCTGGTTTGGCTCAGTGGTTAGGGGGTTGGCCAGTGGACCAAAGGGTCATGGGTTCAATTCTTAATCAAGGGCATGTACCTTGGTTGCAGGTTCCCCAGCCCTGGTGGGGGTGCATGCAGCAGGTAAACTATCAATGTGTCTTTTTCACGTCAATGTTTCTCTCTCACTCTCTCTTCTTCTCTCCCTCCCTCTCTCCTCCCTACCATCTCTCTCTTCTCTCTCCCTTCCACTCTCTCTAGAAATCAATAGAAAAAATATCCTTGGGTGAGGATTTTAGAAAAAATAGCAAGGTCATGGAAAAATGGACACTAGGTTGATCCAAATTTAGAATTACATGAAGCATCATTTAAACACTGTAATTCTAAATACCCTGTGAACCACAAACTCCACTGCTGGGAGTAAAGGAACGATTTGTATATGTACACATAAAAATGGTGGTGGAGTAAGTGGAAACTACACTGACACTCTCCCAGAACCAAAGTAGAAATATAACTAAAATACAGAAAAACAACCCTGGAAAATCAACTGAAGACTAGCTGGAGATAACCCGGAAAACCAAGGAGGGAAAGTGGAAACCACATAGAGACTGGTAGGAAGTGCAGAGGCACAAAGGGGCTGGCCTGGCTCCCACAGACAGCAACTAAAGGTCCAGAGAGATATCTCATATTTGGGGAGGGGGAGTTTTCACTGAGAACTCTGGGGTCTAAATCCCAAGGTGGGCTCCCCAGCCCAGAGTATCAGAACTGAGAAAGGTGCCCACAAAACATCTGGCTGTGAAAAGCAGCAGGGTTGATATTTGCTGCCAGAGACAGGTGGAAACGCAGGTGCAGGCACCCTGCTAAATGGCAAATGCACAAAAATTTCATGTGTAGCCACTCACCTTGGGCTCTGACAGAGGGAGGGCAAAGTGGACTGGAGTTCTGTGAGGAGAGTCCAGGGTTGGGGGATCTGGGGTTGGAGCTCAGAGGGCAGCGACCTGGTTTCCTATGCTGAGTCATTACCTCACACTGTGGAGGACTTATTTCTCTGCAGATCTTTGCTATTCAGGTTTTTTCATGGAGGGAAGGGAGTTACCCCACCCTGTTGAAAGACTTCTCGGCCCACTCTGTGGTCTATAGCCTAAGGCAAATTAAGACTCTGAGAATAACAACTGGACTGCAGGCAGAGGTGGATCTCCAGAAGCTTTGAGTCTTTGGCAGATCTCCTTCTTGGGGGAGGGGGAGGGTAGGAAAAGCAGAGCCTGGCACACAATTTGGTCCTTTCCAAAGGCATCCAGCCCCAGCAGAGGGAGCCACAAGCTGTGGATTGCTGACAGCTCCAAACAAGGGACTCAGGGCTAGTCAGAAACAGCATCTGACATTGTCTCCTGCACTACAGATTGGGAATTATAGCAGATCTATCTAATACATAGACACAAACCCAAACGGGCAGCCAAAATGGGGAGACAAAAAAACAACCCCAAATGAAAGAAGAAGAAGAGAATTCTGTAGAAGAGTTAAATGAAATGGAGATAAGAAATTTATCAGATGTAGAATTTAGAATAATGATGGCAAAGATACTCAACAGCATGAGAAAATATATAGTAACTATGAAAAAAGACCAGTGGAAAATAAAGAATGCTAGAGTACTAATAAAGAACACATTGGAAGGAATACACAGCAGATTAGGGGAAACTGAGGATCAGACTTAGAAGACAGGGAGAGAAAAAAATCACTCAATCAGAGAACCAAAAAGAAAAAATAATTTTAAAAAAGCAGGACAGCATAAGGGAAGGGTGGGACAACATGAAACGTAACAATATTCACATAATAGGTGTGCCAGAAGGAGAAGAAAGTGAGCAAGGAATAAAGAATGTGTTTGAAGAAATAATAGCAGAAAACTTCCCTAACCTGGTGAAGGAAAAGGTCACACAAGTCCAGAAGGCACAGAGAGTCCCAAACAAGAAGAACCCAAACAGACCCATGTCCAGACACAAACAATTGCAGAAAACTTCCGTAACCTGGTGAAGAATAAAGTCACACAAGTTCAGGAGGCACAGAGAGTCCCAAGCAAGAAAAACCCAAAGAGGCCCATGCACAGACACATCATTATTAAATGCCAAATATTAAAGACACAAAGAGAATCTTAAAGGCAGCAAAAGAAAAGCAATTTGTTACCAACAAAGGAGCTCCCATAAGGCTGTCAGCTTATTTCTCATCAGAAACTCTATAGGCCAGAAGGGAATGGCATGAAGTATTGAAGGTAATGAAAAAGCAAGAACCTGAAACCAAGTTTACTATATCCAGCAAGGCTTTCATTCAAAATAGATGGTGAAATAAAGAGCTTCACAGACCAAAAAGAAAAAAGGAAAGGCTAAAAAGTTTATAACCACCAAATGAGCACTGCAAGAAATGCCAAAGGACTGCTGGAATGAGAAGAAAAAATAAAGAAACATAAGCATAGAAAATTAAAATGGGAATAAGTAAGTAGCTATCAATAATAACCTTAAATGTAAATATAGATTAAATGCTTCAGACAAAAGACAGGGTAGCTGAATGGATACAAAAACATGACCCAATTATATGCTGTCTACAAGAGACCCACCTCAGAACAACAGACTAACACCGGATGAGAGTGAAGGGATGGAAAAAATTTTCCATGCAAATGGAAAAGAAAAAACCTGTGGTTGCAATACTGACAAAATTGACTTCAAAATGAAGGCCATCACAAGAAACAACAGGAGGATATAAGCCTGGTAAACATATATGCACCCAATGTAGGAGCACCTAAATATATTTTTTTAAACTTCTAGAGGACGCCTTAACCGGTTTGGTTCAGTGTATAGAGAGTCAGCCTGCAGAATGAAGGGTCCCAGGTTCGATTCCAGTCAAAGGCATGTACCTTGGTTGTGGGCACATTCCTAGTAGGGGGTGTGCAGGAGGCTACTGATCGATGTTTCTCTCTCATTGATGTTTCTAACTCTCTATCTCTCTCCCTTCCTCTCTGTAAAAAAAATCAGTAAGATATATATAAAAAAAGAAAACTTCTAGAGGACATTAAGCAAGAGATCAACAACAATACAGTCATAGTAGGGGACTTTAACACCCTGCTGACTTCACTGAATGCATCTTTTAGACAAAAAATTAACAAGGAAACAGTGACTCTAAAGGACACACTGGATCAGATGGATTTAATTGACATTTATAAAACATTTCATCCCAAAGCTGCAGAATATACACTCTTCTCAAGTGCACATGGGTCATTTACAAAGATAAACCACATGTTAGGACTCAAAACAAGTCTGTACAAGTTCAAGAATATTGAAATTATATCAAGCATCTTCTCAGACCACAGTGGAATGAAATTAGAAATCAACTACAGTAAAACACTCAAAAGCATTCAAACACATGGAGGCTAAATAGCATGTTATTAAACAATAAATGGATTACCAATGAGATCAAAAAGGAAATAAAAAAACTTCCTGGAAAAAATGAACACACGACAACCCAAAATCTCTGGGACACAGCAAAAGCAGTTTTCAGAGTGAAATTCAGAGCACTACAGGCCTACCTCAAAAAACAAGAAAAAATAAAAATAAACTATTTAAACCTACAACTCAAAGAATTAGAAAGAAAACAAACAGAAAACCCCAGTAAAAGGAGAAGGAAATAATAAAGATTAGAGCATAAATAAATGACATAGAGACTAAAACTAAAGAATACAAAACATCAATGAAACCTTGAAAAATAAACAAGATTGATGAACCGTTAGCCAGAATCATCAAGAAACAAAGAGAGAGGACCCAAAGAAATAAAATCAGAAACGAAAGTGGAGAAGTAACAACTGACACCACAGAAATACAAAGGATTGTAAGAAAATACTATGAACAAATATATGCCAACAATCTGGACAATGTGGATGAAATGGACAAACTCCTTGAAAAATACAATCTCCCAAAACTGAATCAGGAAGAATCAGAAAACCTAAATAGGCCAATAACAATTGATGAAATAGAAGCAGTAATCAAAAAACTCCCAGCACACAAAAGCATGGGTCCAGACAGTTTCACAAGGGAGTTTTACAAATCATTCAAAGAAGAACTAACATCTATACTCCTCAAACTATTCAAAAAAAAAGAAAAACAAGAAGGAACACTTCCAAGCTCTTATTCTGAGGCCAGCATTATCCTAATTCCAAAACCAGATAAAGACAATACAAAGAAAATGAATTACAGGCCAATATCTCTGATGAGCATAGATGCTAAAATCCTCAACAAAATATTCGCAAATCAGATCCACCAATATATTAAAAAGATCATACACCATGACCAATGGGATTCATTCCAGGGATGCAAGGCTGGCACAATATTCGCAAATCAATAAGCGTGATACATCAAATACCCAAATTGAAAGACAAAAATCACATGATCAATAGATGCAGAAAATGCATTCAACAAAATCTAGCACCCATTCTTGATAAAAACTCTCAGCAAAGTGGGAATAGAGATGCATATCTCAACATGATAAAGGCCATATATGACAAACCTATAGCGAACATCATACTCAATAGGCAAAAACTAAAACCATTTCCCCCAAAGAACAGGAATAAGACAGGGATGTCCACTTTCACCATTCTTATTCAAATAGTACTGAAAGTCCTAGCCACAGCAATCAGACAAGAAGAAGAAATAAAAGACATCCAAATTAGAAAGGAGGAAGTAAAACTCTCATTATTTGCAGATGACATGATATTGTACATAGAAAATTCTTGAAGACTCCATAAAAAAATACTAGATTTAATAAATGAATTTGGCAATGTAGCAGGATATAAAATCAACACACAAAAATCTATGACTTTTTTTATACATCAATAATGAATCTCAGAATGAAAAACTAAAAAAACAACCCCATTTACCATGGCAACAAAAAAAATTAAGATACTTAGGAATAAATTTAACCAAGGAGGTAAAAGTCTTGTCCTTGTTGAAAAAAGAGATAGAGGAAGATATAAAAAAGTGGAGGAATATACCATGTTCATGGATTAGTAGAATTAACATCATTAAAATGTCCATACTACTCAAGGCAATCTACAGATTCAATGCAATCCCTATTAAAATACCAATAGCATGTTTCATCTAGCACAAATACTCCAAAAATTCATACGGTACCAAAAAAAAAAAAAAAAGACAGCAAATAACTGCAGCAATCTTGAGAAAGAAGAACAAAGTTGGAAGAATCATAATACCAGATACCAAATTATACTACAAAGCCACCATAATCAAAATAGCCAGTTACTGGCACAAGAATAGGCATATAGATCAATGGAACAGAAAGAGACCCCAGAAATAGACCTAAGCCATTATGCTCAATAAATATTTGACAAAGGAGGCAAGAGCATACATTGGAGTAGAGACAGTCTCTTCAATAAATGGTGTTGGGAAAATTGGACAGATACATTTAAAAAGTGAAACCAGACCACCAACCTATACCATACACAAGAATAAATTCAAAATGGATAAAAGACTTAAAAGCAAGTCTGGAAACCATAAAAATCCTAGAAGAAACCATAGGCAGCAAAATCTCAGACATCTCTCGTAGCAATATGTTTACCCATATGTCTCCTAAGGCAAAGGAAACTAGGAAAAAAATAAACAAATGCAACTACATCAAAATAAAACGCTTCTTCACAGCAAAAGAAACCATCAACAAAATGAAAAGGGAGCCCACTATATGGGAAAACATATTTAGCAATGATATATCTGATAACAGCTTAATATCCAACATATATAAGGAACTCATACCACTTAAAAAAAGGAAGGCAAACAATTCAATTAAAAATGGGCAAAGGACCTAAATAGACACTTCTCCAAAGTGGACATACAGATGGCCAAGAGACATATGAAAAATGCTCAAAGTCACTGATCATCAGAGAGATGCAAATCAAAATGACAATGAGGTACCACCTCACACCTGTCAGAATGGCTATCATCAACAAATTCACAAACAGCAAGAGCTGGCGAGGATGTGGAGAAAAGAAAACCCTAGTACACCGCTGTGGGGAGAGGGGTCAGATGGGTGCAGTCATTATGGAAAACAATATGGAGTTTCCTAAAAAAATTAAATATGGAACTGCCATTTGACCTAGTGATCTCACTTCTAGGAATACATCCTAAGAAACCTGAAATACTGGTCAGAAAGAATGTATGCACCCTTATGTTCATAACAGCACAATTTACAATAACTAAGATCTGGAAATAGTTCAAATGCCCATCAGTAGATGAGTGAATGAAAAATCTCAGGTACATTTATACCATGGAATACTATGCAGCAGTAAAAAAAAAAAAAAAAAAAGAAGGATCTCTTACCCTCTGAGACAGAAGGGTCCTGGAGAGTATTATGCTAAGCAAAATAAGTCAGTCAGAGAAAGATAAGCATCACATGATCTCACTCATACATGGAATTTAATGAACAAAATAAACGGATGAACAAAATTAATCCAGAGACATAGAAGCATGGAAGAGACTTCAGAATTTCAGAGGGAAGGCGCGGGTGGAAAGAGATTAACCAAAGAACTGGTTTGCATATATGCATAACCCATGAACACAGTCAATAGGGTGGTGAAGGCCTTGGGTGGGGGGTGGGGGTTGGGGGTAGACTAGAAGGGGTCAGTGGGGGGAAAGGTGACATATGTAATACTTTCAACCATAAAGATATTTAAAAAAAAGATATTTGCGGAGTTATGCTCACAGATAAGGTTTATAATGAATACAAGCTGAAAATAATCTAATTGGAAAAATGGTTAAACATTTGAAAACCATGCAAATATTAAAAAGTGATAATGTTGCCAGTTTTGAAGTAATGGATTAAGTAAGCTACTGTGTTAAAACAAACAAACAAATAAAAGGTGTGCGGTATTAAACTATTTTGACAGAAAAAAAATTACATGTATGCCTAGAAGGACCAATTAAAATGTTTACAGTGACAGCCAGTGATACTTATCACCATATTAAATACAGTGTGAACTAAAGTACAAAAATACTCCAAAGAAGTTCAACATTTTCTTCACATCTTCTGTTAAATTAAGAGCTTATTAGAACACTAAAAAAAAAAAAGAAGAAGAAAAAACCCCTGCTATTTTTCCTGAGTGACTTTTAAATTTTAGCTTCTAATTCGCATCTTGCTGACAAATGAGTTTATTTTGCTTCTGAACCAACCCTTTGAAGCCCTATAACAGATGCTGGACCTTCTTGTTCTTCGAGTCTCATTTTGCTTAGAATATTACTAAAATGAAAATTGTTAGGCATAAATTTTACTGTAGGAAATACATTTCCCTCCACAGAGCCTTAGGAAAACCTGGACATTGCTTGCTGACATCATATTAATATCTCCTCCCTCCTTTATGATGGATTATTAAGGCAGGAAGAATTTTTAAGTATAATGATGAGACTTGGTATACTTTTGTAATTACTAATATAGGCTTTGCTATCAGTTTTCTAGAATATAAATGTCAGCTCTGATAGTTATTACCCATATGATCTTGGACATGTTACTCAATTTTTCAGCCTTAGTTTCTTCCTATGTAAAATGCTGATAATTATAGTTCTCAATCAAAGGGTTATTATGAGGATTAAAGAAGATACTACATATAAAGCACTTAAAATAGCAAACAGAAATTTAATGAAAGGCAACTATAGATGAAAAATCCTATATGCTCTTCTTCCCATAATTATTAAAGAAAATTCTCCTTGAAAGATAAATATCACATGACCTCACTCATTTGTGGAATATAATGAACAACATAAACTGATGAACAAAAACAGATCCAAAGACAGAGAAGCATCGATATGCTCAAACCTCAGAGGGAAAGTAGGGGAGGGTGAGGGTAAGAGGGAGAGATCAAACAAAGGACTTGTATGCATGCATATAAGCATAACCAATGGTCACAGACACCAGGGGGGTGAGGGCACGAGTGGGGGGGAGGGGGGCAATGGAGGGATAATGACACATATGTAATACTTTAATCAATAAAGGGGAAAAAAAGAAAATTCCCCTTTTTTCCATAAAAATGAACTTCTCAGCCCTGCTCTTTCTTAAGTTTCAAAACTTCGTGTTGACCAAGCAATTCCTCCTGATTATCAACAATTTACAAAAGGGGGGCTATGTGAATGGATGAAGTAAAAGTGGCAAAATCCTCACAATTTTTGGATTTGGGTAATAGGAAAAAACATGGAATTACAACATAATAGTAACAACTAAATCTACTAAGCACTTATGTGTCCAAAGCATTACCTAAGAACTTTACATATATTTTTTCATCTATTGATAGCAATCCTATATAGTAGGTTTTATCATTATCCTCCCTTACAAATGAAGGAACTGTGGCAAAAAGAGATTAAATAAATTGCCCCAAGTTCACCCAATTCTAATGACAGGTTTAGGATTAGAACCCTGGTAATTTAGTTCCAAAGCCACTATACTAAACTGTCTCTCTTAAAACCACATAAATATTTTGCCTGAAACAAACGCATGCTGTCCAAAACTTCAAACCTCTTCTCAAAGTTCTACTAATGTTTTTGCTTCTCTTCTACTAATAATCCCTTCTTTTGTTAACACAGATCTTCATTTAAAAACCTTACCAAATTACCACTCCGTATCTTTCTCTGCTTTGACCTCAGGGCAGTGGCGAAGATCAAAGGCACCTAGTATGAGTCCAACTAAACTAGTCTCAACAAATCACAGCCTAAAATAAAGCTCTGTTGTTAGCCTTCCTTGCAAACCATGCAAGGGTTTAAGAAGCAGCTCACAGGAGAAATTAAATGATTGCTAAATGTTCATGTAATAGTTAGGAGGGGCAGGATGCCTACCTACATCATCTCCATCATTCACTGAGAAGGAAGAGCAAAGATCCAGATCAATAGGTAGTTCAGGTATTAAAGCCTTACTAGCTAAAAACGACATGGAACAAGCCTATTCCACAGGAACGGTTGGAATGTAATGGGTGAGAGAGAGAGAAGCTCTTGTGTAAAGGGTTGAGTACCAACTGAAGGATTCAGAGGAAAGGGAAAACAATTCTGGAATGTTTACTGTTTCTGAGGTGAGAATATGAGGCAGGGATTAATTAAAGGTTGAACACTACTATATAGTGAGAGTACTTTAGCAATTGGGTATCCCCAGTAATAAAATAAAAATAGCAAAGTGGATCTGGAGCACTTTCTTGGTAAGAAAGCTGTAATCTCTCAAAGAGAAAATCGTTATGGCATTTTACAATTGCTGCATGACCTGAGTATGTGGTAGGCAGTTGGACACAGGAACAGAGAAAAACAATGGGCCAGGTACAGAAGGTTACCAAGGCAGAAGGCCCCAGGTGCTTAGCAACGGGCAAAACTGGGAAAACAAGAACCTCACTCACCCCCAGGGTAACCTTTCCTCCCCTAGCATGTAGCTGGGTCATTCAGTTTAGACCCCCCTGACCTTTCCTCCCCTGGCATGTTGCTAGTCATGTGGATTAGAACCCCTTAGAGCAGCGGTCACCAACTGATGGTCCGTGAGGTCCGAAAGGTTGGCTACCGCTGCCTTAGAGGGAGAACTCACAAGTGGGCCAAAGGATAACCCTTAGCATTAAGCCCACAGGAGAATGAGGCTCTGACCGACATCAAATATATCTAGGCCTCAGTTGTGTTTCAGCTCCAGGCCCAGAAAAGCAACAAAACCAGACAAGCAATGCCATGGCTGACCTCAGGACCAGCTACATTGACAAGTAACCCCTGTCATGGCAACAACCAATCCTAGAGAACATGACCCTGGAAAGACACACCTGTAAAACTGATAAATATTCTATTGGGACTTTCCCCTCAGACCTCCAGATAAATACCCTCAAGAGGGAGGACCCAGTGTGGCTTTCTCTATTGAGCACACCCTGGCCTTTCCCCACCCCTTCCCCCAGCTGCACTTTCCTTGCCTCTCTCTTTTAAGCTCCAAGGGCCCTCTTATGCCTCTGTAACTTGCTTCCTGAGCCCATTTCTTCTGCAGTTCACTTCTTCTACCTCTGGGACTTCCTAAATAAACTTTCTCTTATCGATTTGAGTCTTAGCTCTGAATTCTTTCTTAGCCAGAACTCAAGTACTGAAGTTGCTGAACCAAGGTCAGGTCTGACTCCACGGGTCTAACATCTGGTGCTGTTCTTTCTCCCAACAAGGAGAAATAATGTTTCCTAATTTTGCAACTGGCTTGATTTGCCTCTTCTCTCCCAGCCTGATTAATAACAGCACTGTTTTTTCTCTTTTGAGTCCGAGCTGATTTTTCCTCTTTTACAGAAGCAAATATTCCAATGTCTGGAAAAATAAAAATAACATTTCATGGAACAAAGGGGAAACAGAAACTCATCTTGAGACAGGTATGTATCTATTAACCTATACTAGTATAGGGTGTTCCCCAAAAATGTATACTCACACTTTGAATAATTATAAAGGCAGTGTTTATTAAATTATATTTCATTTTCAAAATTTTTATCAGCTGATACAATTGTATACATTTTTGGGACTC